TGCTTTACCTTGGTCTTAACCATCCAGCAGAAAAGTATAAAAAAGAAGTACAAGAAGTAAAGCATGCTGTTATGTTGAGCTGTAGCGAACTCAGGTCAACAATTTCTGACATTGCCAGTCAAGCGGAAGACCCAATACTACTATGGGCTACTGGACTCTTTTAGAATATTTTGCTGAGTTAACACACCTATAGTATTCAAATGATGGCTAAACATAATTCTCCTTTCTAAGGAGATTTCAGAGAAGTCACTCATAGCATCTTTCTGAGACCATATGCTTGGTGAGGGCACTCACCTGCCTGAGGTCATACACCGTCAGAGATATGGAAATGACAGACATGAGTATGATGGCGAGGGCATATTCCTTGTAGTCTTCGCTAAACCACAAACAGACACTGAAGAGTTGAAATATATAAAAGGGGTTCAGCACCTGTTGGCAGACACACGAAAGGGAAGACAAAGGAAATGGTTAGGCTTCGCACACAACCGTTCATTGACTTGTTTCCATAACCATCTCTGTGAGAAAAATCATCCCACCCACAGTGCTGTGCTCTTCCTTATTCTGTTTATTCAGCGACTGCCAGGTACCAGACCCTGCACTAAGCAACTTTACCATAATTTGCTCAATTTATTCCCATAATCACCTCAAAGACCAGAAGTTATTGCTCATCTCTATTGTAAAGATGAAGCAGCTAAGCCTTAGGTCTTCAGAGACTGGCTTGAGTCCATGCACCTATGATTATCACAGAGCCAAAGCTTACAGCCAGGCAATCTGACCCTAGTGCAGCTACTTTACAATTTACAAAGTAGCCCCTGTTTCAGCATCTTGACCACCATTGTGTAAGGAGTTGATATTCTCTCCCATTTACAATTACTCAACCTCAGAAAAATGAAGTGTTAGTTCAGGTTTGCAAATTTAAAATACATTCTAGTCTATTACTTTTCCCTAGGATAAAAAAGCTGCTACATGTGAAGCCATTGGAAAACTTCATGTGAATGAACACATTGATGTCTTCTCACAGAGAACTGAGACAGAAGTGTTAAGTGTCGACTGAGAGCTGACTCTTAATAACTGTATTCCTGCTTTGGTAAGGAAAATGGTGTGCTTTCACCCAAACTCCCCCTGTTAAAACAGGAGTGGTTATTCTTATCTCTAGGTTGTGAAAAACTATGCAGACAGTTTCCCTAGCAATGTGTTTTGCTTTGCTTAACTCTTGAAAGTTTTCTGGAAATGTGGAGGAAGTACCTTGAGTGTAGTAAGCTGTGTTATTTTTCAAAACAAGGAGGTGTGGAGGTGTACAGTGTGCTGCTATATGGTTATAGTCTGAAAAGTAAGATGAGAGAATCTGACATGGAAAATTAGTAAATAATAGTCAAGTCTTTCCTTCACACACAATGAGGTTGGTAGCACTAAAGCCTAAACAGAAGGGCTTTTTTCTCCCTAATAATTTTGGATGTTGAGGAAATTGTATAAGTGGGCTTAAAAAAGATCAACTTTCTAGAAAGTGAAAGAGAAAAAAGATAGGAAGAAAAAAATGAAAAGAAAAGTTGAGAAGAGAAATGACTATATTAGTTTCAAAGTTGGAATATGCTAAGCAGCATAGTAATAAAAAGGAAAAGAAACATTGCCTTCATCCATTCACCAAAATAAGTCCACACACGAGCATTATACTCTATACTATATATGACAGTGTACAAGAGAGAAACTTGAGTTGGGCCAGCAAGATAGCTCAGTGGACTAAGTGCCTGCTTTGGCAAGCTCAGGGATCAGGGTTTGATCCCTGGTCCCCCATGCCATGCCGGCCCTGCCCCCAGACACACTGAGCCAGCCACCAAGACTGGGTGTAGTGGTGCATGCTTGTAATCCCAGCCCTGGGGAGGCTGAAAACAAGAGGATCACTATGAGTCTAAACTGCATAGTGAGACCCTGTACCAAATACATCAATGAAGAGAGAGAGAGAAAAACAGTGAGAGAGAGAAAGAGAGAGAGAGAGAGAGAGAGAGAGAGAGAGAGAGAGA